ACCCCGCATTGGTGTATAGGTGTAAAGTGTGCAGATATGTTGAAAGTGACCCGATTTTAATGAAAAATGTCATTGAAATTATGAATGAGTTGAAAAATGAATTAAAAGATGTGAAAAATGAGGTGCAAGTGTTGAAAAATGAATTATTCAAATCAAATGCGAATAATGAAACACCTTTGAGTTGGTCATCGATGGCGAAAAGATTTAGAGAAAATACATCAAAATCAGTTGTTGTCGTGAATTCGAAAGACGTAAATGTCAAAACTGCTGACTGTGAGATGTGACTCTAATAGCCGTCATACTGGAGGAGTTATATTATATATAAGAGAAGGAATTAAATTCAATAAAATTGCAACTGTAGCATATGATAAATCATGGTTCGCAACAATAAGTATCGAGGATGCAAATTTACAGATAACAGTAGTATACAAATCCCCCGCACAAAAACCTAATGATTTTTTTAATTTTTTAGAACAGTACATATCGAAATATTTGGACTACTCAGCCCCTCAGATTATGGTTGGTGACATCAACATTAACGTGAATAGAAACACCAAAACAGTGAAGGACTATATAAATGTAATTAAAGAACATAATTTAAAGCAAATTGTTAAAGATTTTACGCGTTTTGATATTAAGAATAATTCTTCGTCCATTATTGATCACGTTCTAGTTAACAATGACAGAACATCATGTGTAATAAATAGGGTTGATAAAATATCTGATCATTATTTATTACTCATTACATATAATGAAATTGTTAATTTGAAGTGTGAGAATTCTGAGGTGAATGTAATAAGAAATTATGCAAAAGAAAAATTTTGTGGCATGATAAATGAAAAATGCGAGTTAAAAAGTATTGAAAATATTCAAGAATTTTTTGAAGTTATAGGGTCTTCAATTTCAAATTTTATTAAGAGAGAAAAATTTAAGAAAAAGAAATTTAATTTTGATGATGAATTAAAAAAATTAAAAAGTGATAAAAAATTAGCTTACGATATCTTTTTACTAAGTAGTGAAGTAAATGATTACGAGAAATTTAATAATATTAACAAGAGCTATAAGTATAAACTAAGAGTTAAAAAAAACGAAGAATTCCGTAACCAACTTATGGCTAATAAATATGATTCTAAGAGACTATGGATAAACTTAAAAAGTTTATATAAATCAAAAAATGAAAAAATTAATTTTGTGAAAATAAAAGATGTGATTTATGATGTACCAAATTCTATAGCAAACGAGTTAAATAAGGCTTTCATTAGTTCTATCAATGAAATAATAAATAATATTGAGGATTCCATTAGACAAGATTATTTAAATAACATTCAAGGGTCTGAAAACACATTTGATTTGGTTACAATAGATAAAGAAAATTTAAAGTTCTTTCTGAACGTTGTTAAAGAGAAAAATTATGATGACTTTATTAGTGGAGGGAACCTAATTGATATATGTGCAAATGAAAATTTAAATGAAATAATGTTAAAACTAATTAATAAGTCAATAATTGAGTCTGAAATGCCTGATATTTTCAAATTATCAATAATTTCACCAATTCCCAAAGTAAATAATCCAACTAGTCCTGAAGAATTTCGGCCTATAAATAATTTACCTGTTGGTGAAAAATTAATTGAGAATATTATACATTATCAACTAAAAAATTTTCTAGAAGATAATAATATAATTGTTGAAAGTCAACATGGATTTCGAGAATCTCATAGTACTGAAACAGCGATGATAAAATTAATTGATAATATAGTGAAAAATAATGAGGAGGATTTTGTAACTGTAGCAGTGTTTTTAGATTTCAAAAGAGCTTTTGAGACAGTTAATAGGGAGATTTTGCTAAAAAAATTGAAATGTTATAATTTTTCGGAGGACACTATTAAATGGTTTAATAGTTATTTGACTAATAGGAGACAAATAGTAAAAGTAAACGGAATTTATAGTTCAGAAGTAGAAGTTAAATGTGGAGTTCCACAAGGTTCTAAAATTTCAAATACATTGTTTACTATCTACATTAATGACATCGTAAAAGTGGTCGAATGTGATGTATTGATGTATGCTGATGATACATTGTTAAGCATAACAGCCAAAACATCATGTGAAGCCATTGAGAAGATGAATTTAGAGTTGATAAAATTATGTGACTGGTTAAAATTTAACAAAATTGCTCTGAATACCAAAAAATGTAATTATATGATTTTTAATGAAAAAGTAAATTCGGATTTGAATATTAAAATTGATGATGTTGAATTGGAAAAAGTTGATAAAACGAAATATTTAGGTGTTTTAATAGATAATAGATTAAGATTTAATGAGCATGGTGAATATATTATCAAAAAAATGAAAAAGAAGCTTGGTTTATTTAGAAGAATATCAAATAAATTAAATGAGGAGAACAAAATTTTATACTATAAGTCGATTGTGCAGCCACACATTGATTACTGTTCGTTTGTGTTTAAAATGATGGACCAAGAAACTTTAAATAGTTTGCAGGTTGTTCAAAATAAATGCATGCGAGTTATTAATCGTGAAAATATAAATGAGTTAAGAGAAAAATATAAAATTGTGTTAGTTGATACAAGAATTAATGTTAATGTTATTAAGTCACTTAATAGAATTTTAATTAAAGGGAAACCAAGCATCCTCAATAATTTATTTGTAAAAAATATAGATGCAAGGGTTAGGCATATGAGATTTGCGAACAACCTAGTAATACCAAATTATTTAAAAAATAGAGCGCAGAAATCATTTGTATTTGTAGCAGCTAGGGAATACAATCTGATAACAAAATTCATTCATGATAACAAGCTAAATAATAATAATTATATTAATAATGTTATAAAATTTTATACGAAATAAAGCCAAAATGGCGCTGAAATGAAAAAAAAAAAAAAAAATAGAGTTTTCAGTTCATTATATAAATTTAAGCTACATTATTTTCAAAGTTTCACAAAGTTATCACCAAAGCTTCACGTAAAACTGATTTACTTAAAGTTTTTTTTTGAATTTTCGAAATCAGGGTGTGAAATTTCGAATTTTGTACATCACACAGACAAACAAGACTGTTTCACAAGTTTTCTCGAAAACTGTAACGGTCGACATCCTTAAATTGTTCGTTTAGGAATAGACTTAAAATAAAGTTTTGGAACTTGTGGAAGATCAATGACCACTAAATTATGACGTAGCAAGTCATGACACATAAGATGACGCCAAAATAATCAAACGCAACAGTTTTTTAATATTTAAATAATCGAAATGCCGGCAATTTTTGGTTCACTTTAAATTTTAAATCTCAATTATAAAATTATTGGGTAGATTTCATATTGAAGATCATGAATATTATTATAGACAAAAGTGGCACGAAGTTGAAGAAAAATAGCCAGAAGTCATAATAACTTTCTACTTACAAAATTTCATCATTCAAGCTAGTCAAAATAATAATATTTTCATAATATTCTTATGGGTTCGTTCACTTATTACGTAACGCAATAGGGGGGGAGGGGGGGTCTAAGATTTTGTTACGGTTTGTTACAGGGGGAGGGGGGGGGGGGTCTAAATTTTGTTACGTAACTTTTCAAAAATTATATTTTTTTATAATTTTTTCTATATTAATTTTAAATTTTTTTAACGTTAAATTTTAACTTAAGAACTTTTTAGTTATAAGTAAAACTGTTTATTTTTCATCGATAAAATGATAAAAGTGAGTTAATAAAAGAACAATTCCATGAATGAAGGGAACTTTAATTTTTTAAGCACAAAATTTTCGTTATGATTTATTTTTTTTTTGTCTAAATAAACATATTTCACTGCTACTAGAAGGAGTTATTTTTCAGCAATTAATGTTTTTTCAAAGCTAACCATCAAGAAAATAGCTTGGTTATGTTAATGCTGATCTTGGAAAAAATTCTTAGCACTTTTTTCGTAATGATAACATATTAACAATAAAAAAGTTAAAATATTTTTAATTAGACATGTTTAAATCAGTTGATTATCATCAGAAACGATGAATAATTTATTTTTTAAGATGTATAAGCAATAAGATCAAAGAAAATTTCAAGATTTAGAGAATTATCAAAAAAAAAATTTAATTTTCAAAGCGCTTTTTTACTCATGGAATTACTCTTATTAGAATTATGTTTTGAAATCTCAAAACAAAAATATTTTGTGTGGATCAATGTGAAATAAATTAAAAAAAAGCTAAAATATTTAATAAAAGTTTTGTAAGCAGAATTTTGATGCAAAAATAATTTAAAAAAACAACGATTTCTCAAAATTTGAAAATTACAAAAAGCAAATCCGAAAGATGAAGCATACGTAAAAATTAAGTTTCGAAATTTTGATATTCGTTATTTTAATACCCACTCGAGAAAATTTTTAATTTAATGTTTTAATTGCTTTCCTTCTATTTACTTTTACATACTTAAAGGAAGTATAATAAACATTTGATAAACAATTTAAATGAAAAAAATTATTGTTACGTTATGGGGGGGGAGGGGGGGGGGGTCTAAGATTTTGTTACGCTTTGTTACAAGGGGGGGAGGGGGGGTCTAAAAACTCGTTTTTTTGCGTTACGTAATAAGTGAACGAGCCCTATGACAACAAATTCATATAAATATTGAAAGCTAGTAAACGAAGGAAAGAGACAGACTGTTTGGTTTCTATGGGTTACATATTGTAATGTTGCCTTAGCTTTACTAAATTTCCTTATATTCATTGTTTGTTTGTTTGTTTGCTTCTCATTTCATTTCTTATTTCTTTTTACGGATAACTTGAAGGCAACTTTCTTCTCAATAAAATTCTTTTACTGTGTTTTTCTCACTAAACTTTGATTTTTTCATCACATTCATCGATGTGTACTTAAAGATGATGATCTAGGAAGCATCAATATCATCATAAATATATGTACACAAATAAATATAAATAAACATATCAGACCCAAGCTAAAAAGGGAGAGATTTGAAGACTATACATGATATTTTCATCATTTTATACTCTTTTCTTTAGACCAACTCAATACTGAAACGTGATAAGAGTAATAAAAATACTCTACATTATTGTACGGGCCAAAAAAGTTTACTACCAGCCGCAGTAATTATTATGACTGCGCCACATTTGATGGAGCAAGCTGACGAGGATGGCTTCAAACCAATACATTTGGCAGTGATACAAGGAACATTGGAAACTGTAAATCTTTTATTGGCCAATAAAGTCAACGTTAATGCTCTAGATAATGAAGGACATTCTGTTGTTCATTGGGCTACAGGTACTTAACATAATATCTCACATAACATCGCACATTAAACATTAAATACATTTTATCACGTTCCGAAATTATTTTATTTCTCTATTTCCATTTTCATCACTGGTTTCATGCCTGAGATTTATAAGGATTTATTCCATTAATTTTAAAAGCAACATCAAAATTTTTCGCATTACTTAAACTAAAAAAAATCCCATTAAAGGTTTTTAAAATGTAATAAATTTAACATTAAAGCATGTTCCATCTCCCAACCAGCACCTTACATTCATCCCTAATGACCACACAAAATTATATAAAATATTTTCTTTTCTCATTTTTTAGTATGCGGCGAGGCACAGATTTTAAGAACTTTATTAGCGTCCGGTGCAGATGCTTCCATACCAGATCATAATGGTGCCACGCCACTTCATTATGCTGCACAGATGTGCGGATATGATGGCAAGAGTGATAAAACATCAACAAAGTTGGCGCTTGAAATTCTTGGAATTCTTCTGAAGCATCCAAAATGCTCTGTTGATGTTGAAGATAAAGATGGCAGACAACCATTGATGTGGGCAGCAAGTGCAGGTTCCGATGATGCCATCACTGCTTTACTTAAAGGTGGTGCTTATGCTGAGAGTGCTGATAAGTAAGATGAATTGATTATTTATTGGGAATTTGAGATGAAATTGAATAACAAGCTTTTGAGGCAAGAATTTGGCACTTATGTGATGAAGTGGATTTTTGTATAAAATACTCATTGACAGCTTCCGAGAAAAATACAAGTCAAGTCTTAATAAGAGCCAAAATGACACTCATTCTTCATGACAACAACCTGACTGTAGATGAAAAACTTTAAAACTAATTGAAATTCAATTAAATTTGAATTACAAATTAATTTTCCATTCCCCATCGTTTGCCATCACCATCATCATCAGTTTGAACTTTAGTTATTTCATTATACATAACTTTATATTCTAATTGCAAACATGTCATTGTGAATTTTAAATTTTCTATTATTTACTTGTAGAGATGGTTTAACAGCATTACATTGTGCAGCATCGAGAGGACATACAAAATGTATTGAACTATTAATTAAACTCTGTGGTGCTCAAGTCGATACGATTGATTCAAATGGATGTACGGCATTATTTTATGCTGTGACATTGGGTCATGCTGACGCAACAGTTAAACTTTTAGATTTAGGTGCCGATCCGAATCGACAAGATCGAAAGGGAAGGTCACCGGGTACACAAATAAATTGACACATACTTATTGCTACTCACTTATGTTACATTATTCAATTTTCCAGGTCATTGCGGCTGTGCGAAAGGTCAATTTGAGACAGTAAAGATTTTAAATGCACGTGGAGCGAATTTATGGCTGAGAAATGCTCGTGGTGATTTGCCAGTTCATGAAGCTGCATCATCGGGACGTATTGAACTTGTCGAATGGCTTCTTCAACAACGTCCAAATCATATGAATTCATCAAGTAATGATGGTCGTACTATTTTGCATATTACAGCGGGCAACGATAAAATCGATATGTGTAAAATGCTAATTGAAATGGGAGCTGATGTTAATGCTGTTTATCGTAATACTAAAAATGTTGTTAAAACCCCATTGGATTGTGCCTTACAGAAAGGCTTCCGTACAACTGCCAAATTTATTCAAATGCATGGAGGTCTTCCGGCAAATAAATTAAGATTGTCGGGTCGAAAGACACAAACAATACTGCCAGAATTAGATGAAGTGAAACCCCTTAAATTTACTGAAATTGAAGTCAGCTACGAACGGAAAGAAAGTCGTAGTCGACGTAATTCACGTACATCCGAAACAGACACCGATACGGAAAGTTCACGAGGTCACCATCGTAATCGTAAACATCACCGTAAGTGTTCACACAAGAGACGCACAAGTAGTTGCAGTGAAATGTTTATATGTCATCGTGCTGATGAACCATGTGAAATAAGTCGTTCCAAAAGTACCACTGAACTTAGTCGTAAAAAATCAAAGCGTCATCAGCGTTCTGTATCAACAGAATCATCGTGCAGTGAAAGTTCACATAGCAATTCCGATGACGATGATGATGATGAGGAAAATGATTGTTGTTATCATATAAAAAGAAGACATCGTTGCTATAAAAAAGTACGAAGTAAATCGAGAGATCGCGATAATGGTAATGGCAACAATAAGAAAGGACGAAAGAGTTCCGATAAAAAAGGAAGTGAATCTGAATGTAAAGAGAATGATAAGGATCATGGAAGGGTTAAGAAGGATAATAAAAGGAAAGTTGAAATTTCATCGTCGAGTGCTAAAAAGAGCGACAATAAGGCATCATCAAAAGGAAAGAATGACTTAAAAGCAACAACAAAGACAACAGGGAATAAAAAACGCCCAGCATCGGGAAAGCCATTATTAAAGAAAAGCAGTCAAGATGAGAAAAATAAATCGATTGATAAGACAACAAAGACACCCGATGTCTCAATCGATATGGAACAGCCTCCAATTGATACAATTTCAAAAAAATCCATTGATGATGCGAGTGAGGATGATAAGACTATTAAGCAGATAACAACACTGGTTGAAATTCATGAAACAATTCAGCAACAAACGGATATTGACGATGGTGCGGCAACTGATGCAACATATACAATAGAGAAACGCGATAAGAGTGACATTATGATCCCTGAACCAGAAACAATTAAAGAGGAGGCAGTAATTGTGACAATGGCATCGGAGGGTAGTAAAAAAGTTAGCTTTAAGGGTGATGCCAGTGAGAATGATGATGATAAAATCTGCGAGAATGAAGTGAAGAAGGTAGAAGAAGAAAAGCCTGTGCCTGAGCCACCTGTTGAGATAGAGTCGCAACCTTTCACTGATGATAAAGTTAAATGTGTATCAAATGAGACAGAAAAGGCATTCGAGACCCTTCCTGACTCAACAAACGATGATAATGATGGTGATACTGACATGAATGAATCGCCTGAAAATATTCTACGTCCAAAAAGTCAAACACCTGAGTCTATAGCAAGTTTTACTGTTTTAGAGGACGGCGATGATGCTGATGAAAAGTTGAAGGAATTTGAAGAAATGACAATGGATGAGTCATATATGCAACTAGGTCAAGATGATTATGAAAGTGAACAGCAATATTACGATGATTCATCGTCATTAGAAAAGCTACCGAAACAGCGTGTCATAACAATAATCGATGATGCAAAGGATCAAGATTCCGGTATTGAGCCAAGTCCACGTTCACAACGTACTAAAATACCCGCTCCACGTTCTTTACATTCATCAGCTGTACCAGGAATTCCACGTAAATCTTTTGTCGTTACGGAAGATCGACCGCGTAGCACACGCATTGAGGGTAGAAAACCAGGCGATAAAAATGCTGTCAACATGGCAACCGTAACGCAATCTATACAGAAGAACTTAAGACGGTAAAGACTGTTCTCATTCATAGATATACAATTTAATAATAATTCGGAAGTAAGAATGGGGATGATGAAGTGAAATTTAATGTGAATAATGTGTAAATTTACAACCATAAATCTCAAAATGTGATTAACTATGGCAATGCCATTGACTCCATCTTTAACTGTAAATTTTCCACCACGTGTGATTATTTATTCAATTTTATTATTAGCAAAAAATTTAATATTTTCTGTTTGTGCGAGAAGTAAGAAGATAAAGTTTCTTTATTGGAATGGGAAATGTAAATTTATGATTTCAAATTTTTAATATTATTCTCATTGCTGTACTCTTAAGCAATGATTTTTAATATAAAAGTAGCTTCGAGTATTCATTTTGATTCAGTAAGTTGATTGACAAAAAAATCTTTTCTTTACCTCGTGGAATTTAGCGGCTTTTCGCTGATTTTGATTTTCGCTGATTTTTCAGTCAAGTCAACTCGACTTTTTAAAAATTCGCTGATTTTAATTTTTCGCTGATTTTTAAGTGATTTTTCGCTGATTTTAAAGTGGTTTTCGCTGATTTTTTAAATTAAAATTTCGCTGTTATTTTAATTAAAAATCGCTGATTTTTCGACAAATTTCACTGATTTTTCGTAAAAAATTCGCTGATATTTCACAAAAATTTTAATGTTTTTTCTAAATCTCTTAATGCAATCTTTTTTTGAATCAGTGAAATTGATAAAAAAAAATAAACAGTTTGATAGTATTGCGATCCTCGTCAAAAGAAAACTTAAACATTGGCTTGAACCAAGCTACAATAAAAAACTAATGGAATGCATTGGAATCAAAGTGTTCAGCAATTTAACAACTAGTTATCACATCCGCTCAGTCTAACTCACAGGAGCAAGCGCAGGAATAGAAATAAATGTACATTTAAATCAACAAAGATGATAGGAAACTTCTACATCTGTGGTGCCTTCAACACAAAACATCGAGATTGAAAATGCATCAGAGATTTAACCATCAAACCAAACGGCGAATAGCAAATTATTGAATGATAAGAATCCAGAATTAACAGCTGAGAACAAGTTTGTGAGCATCATAAGAAATCTGAAAAATCCTAAAGCTCCGGGACTAGATGAAGCCAACAACATACTCATTAAAAAGCTTCCTGAAAAAGCTTTCGAATCCTTAAAGTTCATCATCAATTCGTATCTCAAACTTAATTACTTCCTCAAAATTTGCGCGCTACTGTTCCTCGTTTTCTATTCAATCTTTTTGTAAAAGGAAAAATTATAGTCAAAACCAGCGGAATTCACGAAAGTTACATCTACTGTAAGTCCAGCTAAGCACTTGTCTAAGCAATAAACACCATCTGTATTCACTAGCTAGATGTTATTTATACACATTAAACTACAACTGTAAATTACAGCTGTAATTTGATTTTTACGTAACGACGTAAGTACATCTGTAATCTACAGCTGTAATTTTAGTACATCTGTAATTTGATGCTAAATAGTATAGGGTCAATCAGCAAAATTTTGATAAAAAATCAGTGAAATTTTGATAAAAAAATCAGCGAAATTTTAACTTTACAAAATCAGCGAAATTTTGATAAAAAAAATCAGCGAAATTTTAACTTTAAAAAAATCAGCGAAAAATCACTCAAAAATCAGCGAAAAATAAAAACCAGCGAATTTTTAAAAAAGTCGAGTTGACTTGATTAAAAAATCAGCGAAAATCAAAATCTGCGAAAAGCCGCTAAAATATATTGAGTCTTTTCTTTGGGCATTGAAATTTTATAAAGGATGTGACTTTGATAGACATTTTGTTGTGTTTTGGAGATCAAAGGTTTTGATTTTTATTTTTCTGTAGGTCATTTACAAATGTTATTTCTAGACCCTTCCTGAGTCGTTCAATATTAGGTAACTTTTAAAATTGCTATTTTTGACCTATTTGACGAATAAGGCACAAAGTTTTAATTGCAAAAATTTAAAACTTTTTCATTTAAACTTTATGGATGTTAGGCTTATTCGGCCTGTTTCATTAACGTGGATTATCCATCGATCGGATTATCCACTTTTTCAATCCGAGGATAATCCATAATTTTTTTCACTTCGTTAAACTGAACGGTGAATCAGAAAAAAATGATTTAAAAAAAATAATTTTTTGACGATAGATTTCACAAAAAAAGATTATCCTAGTAAGTGGATTATCCGAAGATTATCCACATAATTATTCTAAAATTTTAAAACTGGGTCCCATTAAGATTGAAAATTCGGATAATCTTCAGGATTATCCCAGGATAATCTAAGGATAATCCATATACTAAAATTATTTTTTCGCGATATTCACTAAACAAGAAAAATGATTTTCCTCAAACTAGCTTGATTATTTTTAACCAATTAATTCTACATCAGAAAGAAATTATTTGGATTTTCCTTGCATCGAAGAAATAGATAATAAAATGAGGATAATCCACCTTAGTGAAACAGGCCGATTGAGTTTGATAGTATTGAAAAGGTTTAGTGCAGTTATAAGTGGTCTAAAAAGCAGAGTTGTCATTTATCAATTTCCTATCAAAGGCATCAAAATTTACCTTTGTAAACGATTGACTAGACAAAGGCAAAACGTAGCCAAAAACACTGCTTACAAATAGGTTACATTTTTTGCCTATGCCTAAGGTTTCCTTAAGGTAAACATGCTTTTGACTAGGTAAACCCTATATTAGATTCATGGATGTGTCTATTTTTGTTTGAAAAATTTCCCAAAAAGGAGGCACTTACATGATTTTTATATAGGTTTTGCCCAGGTAAAGGCATGCCTAAAATAGGCAGTTCCTAGGCGTAGGCAAAAAAAATTGTCTGATTCTAGGTAGTGACTTTGGCTACGTGTTGTCTTTGACTAGCCACACTTTTTTGTCTTTGACTTGCCATGTACTAAGGTGTTACCTGGACAAAGACAAAAGCTACCATACTCTAGTAAAAACACTTTTTGAAGATGTTTCTGACAACTCTGCTAGAGGGATTTAAAGGTGTCGATAAGCAAGAATGTTGCTTAGTGTGAGATATAAAATTTCAAGTGTGTTGTTAAGATACCATCAGTTACCAAGCGGTAATCCTAGAAATTTAAACTTATTTTCAACATAATCTCCTTACTTCCATCTGTAAACAAATTTCTTTTATATTTTGCTCCTCACATTCCAATTTTTCTTCATTTCCTCCTTACTCATGAAGCTACTACATGGAACGAAAAATATTTCAACATTTATTAGAATTAAAGAGTCTTCAAATTCGCTCGTGTAAGTCAAACGAGGCTGTGCTTGTTAAACGTGCCGTTGATGATTATCATAAATCAGTTGCCGATTTGGGCTTTGAAGTAGGAGGCACTTTGAGCAAATATCAAATGCGTGAATATACTTTTAAGAACTTTGAATTGTTTTTATATGAAACGTTAAAGAGCTTACAGAAGCCCGGAACATTCAATTTTCAAAATATTGCAGAAGTCTACCGTGAGGTATGTACGCTAATAAGATTTAATTTTGATTGAAAAGCGGCTTTGATGAACAAAAAAAAATCATTCTATTCTAACCACGAAAATCTGTTTATAATCTGACTAGGCGGAACGACGTTTGAGTCCGGACTTTAGTCGCTGTGAAAAGGCTTTATATTGTACGACAAAAACACATCGATGTTTGCATGCTGCTCATGCATATACTGGTAATTCCCTCTTTTCACTGTCATAATTTTCTCATTCATTGTGTATTGTTTCTATTGTTTTCAAAAGGAATCCCATGTGCTGCATACATTCCATTAATGAATCATCACACAATGCCGAAAATCGGATTTGGTTCTTACAAAGGCAACACTGGTGGGAATGTTGGGACGTTTTATTTACCAAAAATTTTGACAAATAATCATAGATATCAGAATAGGATGTCATTGGAATTTAGTAATACGAATAATAAGAAATACAGCACAACTGTACCACTGCCTAGTGAGAAATTGGACAGCAATAAGCGTTATTTAGTGACATTTACTGTAAATGATAAGGAGAATCAGCAACTGAAGGAACCGAATTCTGAAGAAAGCGATGAGCTGCAAGCAAAGTGATTTAATTAAAATTTAATAAATGAATTTATAGAAATTGTGTCCTTAGATAATTTTATATAATTGAGACTAATCTTTAAGTTTGGTGAAATTTCAGAATGTTTTGACTGAAATAACTGAAACTCCTTGATTTTCTAGAAAGCTAGTATTTGAATGTTCACCTAGATATTCTTCTAGATTTTCACCATGCGTGTTGAAGCATGGACGACTAGTTTTTTTTATCCAATGAGCTGAAATCTAGTTAAGCTAATTGAGTCTAGTTGAGAAAGATGGGCTAGTTGAGCTTAGTTGATAGGTTCAGTCTTGCTAAGCTAGTTGAGCTAGTTGTGCTAATTGAGCTAGTTTGGCTTAATTTAGTCTTGTTAAGCTAGTTGAACTAGTATTGTCTTGCTAAACTAGTTGAGCTAGTTTAGTCTTGCTAAGTTGGTTGAGCTAGTTGAGCTAGTTTAGTCTAATTAAGCCTTGATGAGCTAGTTGAGCTAGTTTAGTCTTGCTAAGTTGGTTGAGCGAGTTGAGCTAGTTTAGTCTTGCTAAGTTGGTTGAGCTAGTTGAGCTAGTTTAGCCTAATTAAGCATTGATGAGCTAGTTGAGCTAGTTTAGCCTTATTAAGCCTTGTTGAGCTAGTTGAGCTAGTTTAGACTTGCTAAGCTAGTTGAGCTAGTTTAATTAAGCCTTGTTGAGCTAGTTTAGCCTAATTAAGCATTGATGAGCTAGTTGAGCTAGTTTAGTCTTGCTAAGCTAGTTGAGCTAGTTTAGCCTAATTAAGCCTTGTTGAGCTAGTTGAGGCAAAAGTGGTACCTAGGTTGCCATCGAAAGGGTAATAAATTATGACGTACATCATTTATTAGAGGAGTTTTCTGAAAATCTATGATATTTTAAACTAAAGCATTCAGTCAAAATAATTAAAATCCAGCTGAAAATTTCAAAACAGTTTAGAATTTTAGACAAAATTTTCACAAAGAAAACCTGAAAAAAAAAGATTAATAAGTTTTATTCAATGAAGAATCCACCAAGTAAAATGTTTGTTCAAAAAATTGATCAATTCTTTTTTTCTTTATTGTTATATCTCTTCCTCAGTTTCCCATTTTTGTTTCATTAAAATTAAATTAATTAATTAAATTAGCTCTTTTCATTCTCATTTACATATAATCATCATTATTATAATAATTTTATTATTATATCTTATTTAATTATTTTTTTTTCTTCATATTATCTATTCATCTCATTTTCCATTCTTCTCTTCTTTTGTTTCTATTTAACTAGTTTAGAAAAAAATTTCATTATTATAATTTTACATAAAAACCAGTTTCATTTATTTATAGGTTTTACCATATTTATCATTTTTTCAACGATTTTATATTCACAAAATTTTTCTTATTTTCATTCAGTTTTAATATATTTTCATTTTCGTTCGCAAAATTATTATTTTTTTTTTTAAATTAAAAAACTTTGTTCGTGACAACTTAAGATGAATTTTTGAATGGCTTGTGAGCAGGCAATGAAGATAATTGGCAGACAATGCATATTTTTGTAGAACATTGGTTTGCTATCTCGATGAATATGAATTTGCTGGTTTGGTGACGATACTTTGATGTTATGGCAATTTTTAAAAAAATAAAAATACTTAAATGCTTTTAAACAGAGTTGTCAGAAAGGTTTGTTTGGAAAGGTGCCACACCAAAGCATGATAGCTTTTGCTTTTGTCTATGCAACACCTATGTATAGACATGCCTAACCAAAGGCAAAAAAAGTGTGCCTAGTCACAAGCAATACCTAGCTACGGGCACTACTTAGAAATAGGCAACATTTTTTGCATATGCCTAAGCACTACCTATCGTAGACATGCCTTTACCTAATCAAAACCTGTACTAGAATTATGTAGGTGTCTATCCTTTTCCCAAACAAAAATAGGCACTTAAATGAATCTAATATAGGTTTTAACTAGTCAAAGACATGTCTACGATAGGTAGTGCTTAGGCATATGCAAGAAAAATATTACCTATTTCTAAGCAGTGCCTTTGGCTAGGTAAACCTTGACAAATATAAATAATGGTGACTTTTTAAATTCAATTTCCTGCAACTCAATGTCATTCTGAATTAAGAAATGTTAAAAATGCTTGCTCAAGACCAATTTTGTGTATCCTTTGAGGAACAATAATTTATGAATTTCTATCCCATCACTTCTGCTTACTTGGCAACAATAAACAATAATCTTTTACCTCTCGAATACAGTTAACAACAAGCTTATTCGAAAGCCTCAACAAAATCAGAAACTTTTCTTGGAAGGACAAATCATTTTCAAATCAACAGGAGCACAACTCCTTCCAGATAATCATCATGTGCTTTTAATTGGAAAGTTCTGGGATGAGAATTTAAATGTCAAAGATATGATTTTTGATGAAAAAGAAATTTGAATTATAATTATTTTGTAGATTTAATTGTTTCAATAACTCTCAAATTCATGCCTTCAAGGGCATCCAACTTCTACCTTGTAATTTCAAAGTCTTATGAAAAACGATAAGTACTTTGTTTTCTGAAAACTGAAACCACAAATTTTACGAAAATTTTCTTGAGGCAAAACCCATATGATTTTCAAAATGTTCAACATATTAAGCTTTTCTTAATGAAAACCCACAAGAATACACTAAAATTCCCTTTTATGGTTAACTGTAGAGAATATTAAGGTAGATGAAATGAGAGATATTATGAATATTGCTACATTATTGATTAAATTTCTGACATCTTTAGATTAAATGTTATGGAATTTTTGAGAAATTTAAATTCAAGTCGATTTTTTGACATCCATTTGGAATTGAATTATTTAATAGAAGTTGCTGATTATTAAGAATTTACTGAGCTAGATGAATCAACAAGGTTTTTTGCCTCGGTCTAGTCGAAACTTAAATAAAACAATGGACGATAATCCATGCTTTGGATAGCTTTAAAATGTTCCCGGTCTAGGCATTATTTACTTGATTAATGCTTTTATTTTTGGATACAAAAGTTTAATCCCAAAACCTAGTACTTGACATACCTTTAAGTTAAGTCTTAGGCCTAGATTTGCTTTCAAAAAATCTGATTACTTTTGAATGTGACAGATTGTTGTCTATAATATCAAAAAGCTAGGTTAGAACCCTAGTTGCTGAAACAGTAAACATGATAAATCCACAAGATTATAAGTTCTTCTTATGGGAATTCAGCCACTAGAGTCAAAATAGAAAAACTCTGTCATGTAGAACTTCAATTACTGAAAATCAGATAAGGGTTCGTTCATTTATGACGTCCAGGGGACGGGGGAAGGGGGGTCAGCAAGAAGAACAACAGAAATTCTTCGAAATCCATTGTTCTTTTTTAAAAAATTAACCTTAATTTCGGACGTCATAAGTTACGGACCCCTTTCCATTAAAACTTAATAAATTCTCAATCTTTATAAACAGCTTTAATTTCATTTGCCTTCCAATAGTTTAAGGAACAGACACAACAAAAGTTTTCCATTCTCAAATGACCAAATGCATTGAAACAATTTTCGATCATAAATAGCCTTCTTCCCTACAATAAGCTTTCTATTTCTGTTCTCAAACACTCCCAGTTTCCTTAATCCTCATAGGAAATTGTTTATAAATGGATTCGAGCAAGCATCTTTAAACTTCTTTCTTAAAATTTTATCAACATTTTTCTCTCCTTTTTTTTGTGTTCGTCTTTTGTTCTTGTCCTACTTTTGGGAACAGTTTGAGTGTAGATTGAGATAAATAAATTATGATATATATTTTTTCATTAAATTTTCTTCCTTCCTATAATAATCTTCTCGTTTTCATGTCGTCGTTCATAAAATATATCCCTTGAATAGATTTTTGATGGATATTTTGTTTTTCGTGTGGAATTTTGATAATGACGAAATTAGAAGTGGAATGTAGACGTAATGAGAAATTTTTGAGAGATTTATTTTTAATTTTTTTAAGGAGCTGGTATGAAAAATTAGGAAAAGAAATATGAGATGTAAAATTTTGAAAATAATTGTGTTGTCGGAACAGAATGGCGAATCTGGGGTATCAAGCCATATATAGGCGAATCTGCCAGTGCGAATGTTAGACCTCTGGGGCGCGAGTGGTTTATGCAACAGACTATAACCATCTTTTGTGAGGATGGAGGTTCGATTCCTATCAGAGACCAATCTCTCAACCATGACAAAGATTCGCACAACGCTCACGACATTGCAATAATATGGACCACTTATTGATAGAAATTTCTGAAATCCTCTGTTCTCTCATGTCCATCCAAAATGTATTCAAGGGATGAATAGAAAAAAATACAAAAAATACATATGTTATAGTTAAGTGTCATGCATTAAACGTGATAAAAGTAATACAACATAAAATAACAAAAAGAAGGAGGAAGTAAAAACTAAAGAAAATTATGAATTTATGTGGATGTAATTGGAAAATGAAAATAAATGGTGAATATAATAGGGAAACTAAATAAATAAATAAAGAACTACTACTTATTATGTACTTAGTTGAAAATAAATACGGAAAAAATAAAGCAAAACTTTTTTCTTGTTCATGTTTTTTGTTTCTTTTTTTTAACTTCTTTTAAAACATTTAAGTTTCAGGGATAAAGCTGTGGTCAAGAAGACTTGGAGTGAGAAATTTAAAAAGTTTCTAATGCATTCAAATTAATGACAACCTAGACTGGAAAATTTTGTGGAAGTTTTTGTTGACGATGAAGAGTTTTTTTTAATTTATTGTTAAAAGTTTTTGGAGTATCTTAATGTGATTGATGGTTAAAAATATTGAAGATTCAAGTTTGTCAATGCTGAGCTTTAGAAAAATAAGATGGATCAGAATTAACAGGGTTCAGATCGATAAAACGCTTAAAAGTTGAATCAGCTTTATTTTTAACTTGCAGAGTTTCGTCATGTTTTCCTTTCTCTTATCAACTTATACCGAAATCATGTCCATAGTAATTGCAATGTCTACAAAAATCAACCTCAGTGTTTAGGTCCT